TCAGATGGCATCAGATGGTCACCATCAACGTCAATTACCTTTTTAATACTTTTTGACCATGAAATTTAACAAGTCATATTGTTTTTAATCATAGTGGAACTTCTTCATCATGTTACTAATGGCATACATTAGAGGTGGGGAAACCTTAGGTGGCTTTACGCGCAAAGTTAAATCTCTCATGTTTACTAATGACACTATTAGCCTCGCCTTCGGGGTGGATGAATGGTTGGATGGACAACAGTGGAATGCGATAGCACTCGCTGTGATTTTGTCCACTTAATTGATCCTCGGGAGATTCTTAGCACTGCAGATAATTCTAAATTTGATACAACGTCATCCAAATCGCAATTTATTGTAGGCCCTACTTAAAAGAGGAACGATCTTCCCTCTGTCTTCACTAACTGCCCCTAAATATACCTCCATTGGCCTAAATATCCAAACACTCCTATCAGCAACACCCATCAACACATCTGAGAATGCCATTGGTTAATTGCCTGATTGACATTGCCTTGACAGCCCAATCCCACTTTATCACCTGGAGCACGCTTGCGTGGGATGGATGACCTGTTATTCATATGATTATATCACATGGCGCCCAGTCGTAGAATTATGCACAGTTTGTATTTTGCGTCGTCAGTAGGTAACTCTCTTTGATTTGCTCAGTGTGCTTTGCTGCCAATTCAATCGAACCTCTCCATTCTGCTTGCATTCAGTAAAATATGCGAAGTGGCATTTGAAGAGTATTTCGTCACGTATTTGACATTTGTAATTTCTTGCCTGCCTTCAGCTTTAACACACGGCGCAGTGTTTGGGATGGGTAAAATCTAGAGATGTTACACCAAATGTCTGGCGGCACTGGTTGGTAAGAACGCGCAAACCGCTGCCTATCTATGCACATAAGTTGCATCCTGTTGAGCTTAGGAAGTTGGGAAATGGATTATTCCATGCAGAGCTCATTAATCCACTTGTCCATGTATTCCGCCGAAGATAAGTAAGCCAGTGGGTACTGCTTGTGCGTGTGTCCCAGCTGGCGGTCAGCAGTTGACTAGCCTTGACCTTATCAGCATATTTGAAATGCATCCAACCATAGCATCGGACATGTAGGTGGAACGAAACAAGAGCTGTACGTCGCAGACAATCCAAAAACTCATGAGAACCACGTCCATTATTTGGGGACACTCCTATCCCTCCCTCTTTCCTTCGCAAAGAAAAATTGGTGGCCACCATTTCCATTGCCGACATGAAGTCAAAGGTCACTGCTCGTTCTGCTACACGACTGCTCCCTGTGTACACAATGCAGTACAGCGTGGATTTTATTCCATGTCATTCTGTGAAATATGTGCAGCACTGGTCAGGTAACACCCGAGACTGCTGATTCCGAGGTGCACGGCAGACGTAATTGGTTGTGGTGCCTCCACCACCTGTCCAAACCCATCTTGATGACAAACGGCTTTGCCACGTTTGCACAAACCTCCCCACCGAACATCCAATCAAGATTCCTAGCCTCACCTTTGTTTCCATCGTCGAGTTGACAAACGGAGTAGACCTGATTACTGTCTCCTTCCTCACATTAATACAAGGCACTCGTTTGTTACTTCATGCGTCGTCACATAGGGAGGCATTTTAATCATGGTCAGGAGACCAGAGCGGAGATCCAAGTATGTGGGCAACTGTGAGTTGCAGAAGTCAATGAGGCATTTGAGCCACTTCTCAACCCGTTCTTCCAGGTTAAGCTGCTCGTACTGACGCCTGACTCTTCCTGCTTTGACCTTATTGTTCTTGTTGCTGCGTTTTGCCACCTCCATACAGTTGCAGTGCTGATGGAAGATGGGCAATCGGAACGGTTCTGATATAGAGGCTGGACTAGCCAATCTGTAGGAACAGCTTTAATCTCTCGTTTCTACAGGGTAGAAAACCACGTGCAAGCATATACTGGCATTGCCTTCACAGAATAAAAATGCTGCAGAGATCCTTACCTCCATTCTGGATTAGCAAGTGTGCTGGTGGCGTGGTGGGTGGAATCAATGTGCACCCGACTGCTGTGCCATCCTTTATATCGCAGTGGTGGGGCGCGTCCACAAGTGTGCATGCCAATTCAAAGACAGGGGAGTAGCAGAAATCTTCGTGCTTCTTATTTCGTCTTCGTTTGTTATAATGAAGCACTGCACAAAAGTGGCAATGAAATTTGAATCACCCACCTCCACGATTGTCAAACTGGATAGAGCAATCACATAATCAGGCGTGGAAAAAAGAGTGCCCTCCATGAGGTTTCGTTTATTTCGTCTGTACTCGCACTTTATGCAGAAGTATACAAAGTCGCTTTACGTCGATAAGACCTATAAGAAAAAAAAATAGATTACATCGCCATCTCCACAGAAGGTATTCCTCTGACCAAGAAAGCGCAAGGAGACACGTTTTGCCTCAGGCCCGTACAGCCGACTTTAATATCTGAATGTAAAGTCACTCGACACACTCCCATTCAGATCTCGTTATCCCTGCTAATGACATTTCACAAAGCTGACCAATTTTGACGTCCCAACTGCTTTTGTCTTCTAAGCGTATGTTTTGCAATTATCGTAATTACGGCAGTAGAAGAGAGATTTAACTGACGGCCATACCACCCCCAAATTACTGTGATTCCTGCCAAAGCACCCCTAGATATGCAGACACTGAATAACCTGAAGATGCCAACAAAGGAGATAATTGGTTAATCAACCATCCAATCAGTACCATTTACACGATCCCACTTCACCGTCCCTATTAGTCAATTCACGACCAGTAATGTGAACACAGTGCAAAGGTGAATATTATTGACTCAAGGTGAGTTCACGCCAACTCTAAATTTGGCATTTGTACTCTTCAAATTTGTATTTCACAGGCTTCTCAAATGAGGTGACCTATGTGATCTTGTGTCTTTCCTGATGTACTTGGCTTAATACGATTAACTTACTTCTTTGTACTTCTGCGTCCCTCTTCTTCACGGGTTGAGGTATTTCGTGCGGACTAAAGAATACTTTCCAAATCTCCACCACTGTCGTCTTCGTAAGTGGAGTGATAAATGTGCCATTGTTTTTTCCTACTTACTGACGTGAACTCCGTTCATAGCCATCAAATCTTGCATTCCTAGCAAAAAATGATTGAGCAGTTTGCTACATAAATGGGTAATAAGGTGTGTGAGTGGGGATTGAGACTGTCAGTTACCTTCTTGAATGGAGGTGGCTGGGACTGCCCACTGGACGAGTGTGTGGATGGATGAGAAGGAGAAGTTGTGGAATGATTTGTTCTGCGGTTGAATCAAATTTGCCTCCACGACGACGCGTTTTGAAGGGTAATGTTGGGTGGTTAGGTACAAGGAGGCTATTTCCACATGAGCTGAGTAATTATAGAGGAATAGTCCATTTTCTCCCACGTAAGACCCACAGTAAAATATCTTTTGGAAGACACTGCTTTAATATGCCACGCAACGACCCATCTTACCTACTGACAATTGCCAGTGATACTTTAAATCGCTTTAGAGTGATGTGTAGGGGATGGACCACTATGTGTGCTAAAGATGACCAAAAATGCAAACTTTAGAATGGATTAGGGTGGCAGTTGCATTGGCTTTGATGGATGGACAAGCTTTTGTATAGACTGCCACCACAGATAACCCGACAGGTGAGATATATCCATGAGGAGGGCACCATTCCATTTGGTTAAATTCATGAAATTGCGTGACTCAGTCTGCTGCTTTTAGTCAAATTTAGTAACTTTAAATATGAGTCAACAACCTGCATATGGGAGTAGGTATATTTCCAAAGAAAAGAATTTTGAGTTATGCTGATAGGATTTCGATGTGAAGTTTTAATCGGGTCCGGAGAAATATGAAATAGCGGGATGGACGTTTACAGCATTGAAACGACAAAATGAATGTCACTGAAAATAAGAGTTGCAGAACAAGCAGCAGAGGAACACAAAAAAATTACCAGACGTGGAAATGAATAATAGGTGAAGATATGAAAGAATGGGGTATTGGTGAAGAGATAACATAGAGGTGAATGGATGAATGGGTTAATGGATTGGCATATGGATGGATAGACACGGGACGGAGTGTTGGATACAGGATGAAGGTTAGAAGATAGAATGATAAAGGATCCTGGATGGGTGAATGGGTAGGGGTGAATAAATTGATGAATGGATGAATATGGGCTTGATACAGAATGGACGCGCGGTGCCGAAGATGCCTCTTTCATTGTCGTGCCACTTCTGATCTAGTGGTAGTGCCAACAGACAGGCTGCCCTTGATGAAATGTGTATCGACATGGCCAAATTCTCAGCAAAGGAATTCGCCTCCCTTTGCCTGCCTTCTTCGCTCCTTTTTTTAGCTTGCTCGCAGTCCAAATTCACCATCACATACACATCGGCCAAGAATAACATGTGTAACGACAACCTGTCTACAGATTACTTTACTTGAGAGCTTGACGTGATCCGACTTCGAGAACTCAGTCACCAGTTCATGTGGTGGGTTATGCGGTATTTAGACCGTGCATGCGTCTTACCTTGAAGCACCACCCCAAAAGGCCTGATGCGAGGGATTTTAGAAAGGGTTTTTAAAAAAGATACAAGTCCGTCTAATGAGGATGTGAAAATGTTTGCAAAGGTAACCACTGAAAACGCAGGTAGGTGATATCATAAATCATGCGTTGCCACATTGATATTCTACAACGCATTTGCAATGGTATCAGCTACTTACGACTTGCCTCCTACAGATGGCCTCGCTATAGCTCTTATTGTGGTTGGAGTGGCTCTAGCAGCAATCTGTTTGATTGGATGCATTGCTTCGTGATATGGACGTGATGTACTACTGAAGATTGTAAGTAGACATAGGAGAGATGAATTAATATCAAGTGATATCATCAGATTGTTAACAAATATCTTCCTCTTTTTCTACCAGTATGCCGTCATTGTGTTCAGTCTACTCGCTGCACAAATAATCGCTGTGGCAGTGCTTTTTCCGATCCCAACAGAATCAGTTGTTGGCTTGTCAAATCAATGCAGTCGCTTCCCGTGTCGTACGAGTTGAGCAGTGCCAAAAGAAACATGTCAAAAGCTGTCCAGCATATGTTAATGAAGGTACAAATCAGAAAAGTTTACGGTATTTCTATACTTTATAGAAGAATACGTCATTTTGCTGGGGTGTGAATGGCTATGGTGATTTGCGAAAGTTTATGCAAAATTTACAGTCTCTGCTCCTGCTTTTGTGCTTATTTACTGCTCTGCCACCCTTTAAGTTCAATCAGGCAGCAATTTGCCATCATAATGTTGCTGTTTGGCACCTGGTAGTTGCCCACAGAGAATGCCAAAACTGCTAATGTGAGGGATGTAGAATCAAAGTTGCCGACTTTATTGCAGACCGTATCACGAGTTTAATGTGTGTTTTCATTTGCACGATTCTGTTGCAGGTGAGTCTTAAGGCCGTTCTTTGTACCACCACTAAACAGAGTGAAGTGAAGTCATTTCCTGACGCACTCTACATCTACCTTACAGGTCGCTCGCATCGTGATTGTGGTGCTGGTGAAGGCGAGAAAACATCGATGTAATCCTTATAAGCACCCTCTTTATTTATGCCACTCCTCCATTGTATCCACAACCGAATATCTCCTCAAAAGAGAATAAATATTATTTTTTAGTTTGTCCTGCTCTGTAATGTCTAGAAGTCGTGGTAAACAGAGCAGTGGGTGTTTGATTCGCCTTTGAATAGTTCATTCATCCCTATCTTGTTGGAAGCGATTGCCCACCAAACTGCCTCATGATTTACGCATTAAAGTTAATGCTGTTGAGAGCCACCTAATATCATATTTCAACGGATTGTTTTGTGGCAGATTGCTGAATTTGGAGGTGGGCACGTGTATGGATGAGGAGTGAGACTGTCAGCTGCCTCACTGAATGTAGGTGGTGCGGACTGCCCACTCGACGAGGTTGTGGATGGGTAAAAAATAGAATTTGTGAAATGAGTTAGTTTGGGTTGAATCAAATCAGAATGTGAGCTCAGGTAGAGAGAGGGTACTGCTACAGGAGCTTAGTAAATATAGAGTATTCCACTATCTCCCAGATAAGACCCACAATAAACTACTTTAAATGGCCTCAGGGTGAAGTAAATGGGAGTGACCAGCGTGCGTGGCAAAGCTGGCTTAAAATAGACTTCAGAATGGATTGGAGTGGCAG